ATGACGGAGTGAGCTCCCGTCTCTAGTTCCAGCTCCTGCCAACCTAGCAGTTCGAAAGCAAGAAATTGCAAGTAGATAAATAGGTACCACTTCGGGGGGGAGGTAACAGCGTTCCGTGCGCCTTGGTGTTTAGTCATGCCGGCCACATGACCACGGAAACGTCTTCGGACAGCGCTGGCTCTTCGGCTTTGAAACGGAGATGAGCACCGCAACCCTAGAGTCGGATTCGACTGGCTTTCGAGCAAGGGAACCTTTACCTTTAATCATACTACTGCATATTCCCCAGATGCTGTGGAGTCAGCAAGCTATCGTGCCACAGGCTCCACCTTCCAAAGTGACCATTTTCTCCAGAGGAGCTGATCTGTTGTCGGGAGATCAGTTGTACTCCTAGGAGATCTCCAGCCGCTGCCTGGAGGTTAACAACCCTAAGGATCGTTGCTCTGGGACTGGATGGAACTACAGCCCCCCACCCCACCCCCAGTGGAACGATGGCCCCTGGGAGTAGGAGAAGGGTTCTGGCACTGGGCTGGCAGGTTGCAGAGTGGAATGACAGTCCCTAGGAGTAGGAGTATTCTGGGACTAGAATGAGTGGAACCACAGCCCCGGGGAGTAGCAGAAGCATTCTGGGACTGGAATGACAAAACCCACCCACCCCCAACACAGTGATGGCTCCTGGTAGTAGCAGAAGTGTTCTGTGACTGGGAATGGCAGGTTGCAGGGTGGAATGACGGCCCCTGGTGTTCTGTTTCTGGGTGGGTGACCTTTAACGTACTCACTCTGTCCCTCAGCCTGGCAATGATAGGATTGGTGACATCACAAAATCCCCCTTTGTTTTTGAAGATCTCTTGCTGAGTTTTTAGCATATGAAGTACATGTAGCAGTAGTCATGCTTAATAGGACCATAGGAGAGGAAAGATGAGGGCCGGTTGTTATCAGGCTGCTCATTAATTTAAGCCCCCCCCCCTCAAATTAACTTCCTTCCCTTTTAGAGCTGGGTTTACACTCCCTGTACCTTCGTCATCGTCTCTGTTCAGAATGGATCCCAGGAAAGTTCACAGTGACAACGTAGTCAATACTAGTCAGAAATCCGTCAGCCCTGAAGAGCGACTATTTGGGTGGAAGTCTTTAGAAGCCACAGGCAACTCCTCATCACCCACTCGGAACAACATTTGTGTGTGTGATGGGGGAGACAGTCTCCTGGGAGGCATCAGAAGCAATGGGAACAGTTTGGGGACTTGCGGTGAGGAAATGATAGAACCTCATGAAAGTGACCTTCAAGAAGCGGAGACCAAAGACATGCAGTTACCTGACGAGGTGGGGGATCTGGTCAATGAAAAAAGGAGGGAGGCTTTTGAAGCCTGGGCTAAAGGAGAGCTTCGGAATGCCGTTCAGTTGTTCACAGAAGCTATAGCACTCAATCCACATCTTCCCAGTTCATACATAAACCGGGCCAATGTTTTTGTGCAGCTAGAGGAGCTACATGCTGTCATCAGAGACTGCGACACAGCCATTCTGCTTCTCCTACTTGAGCCCGATTCATCGGAGCCGTTCAAATTGAAAGAAAAAGCACTCCAGATTTTGGGGCATTCAAGAGAGGTGGCATGTGACCTTGCTTTAGCTTGCAGATTGGATTACGACGGAGAGGCCAACGCTGTGATCCGGAGACTAAAGATGGGGCTTCAGAGGATTTCTGAGAGACAGGCAGAGTGTACCATCCCACGTCTGAAGGAGCCCAAGATACTGGAGGTGGTCAGGAATGTAGAAGCCACTTCAGATGATCAAGGGAACGGCTGGAGAGAGGAAGCCCCTAGCACGCTGTTGAAGAATGAAACAGAGGAGGTGATCAAGTTAGATCACACTGATTGTCTCCAAGAGATGGTACATGAAAATATGGAGATCACAGTTCAGATGTGGAAGCAGGCCAGTGGGAAAAAGAAGGAGGCCCTTGCTGCAGTGGAGAAAGGTGAACTGCAAAGAGCCATTGTCCTCTTTACAGAAGCCATCCAATCGACCTCCTGGGTTACTGACTTGCATGTTAGCCGAGCCAGGACTTTCTTGCAGCTGCGGATGGTCAATGCAGCCATAAGAGACTGCAACCAAGCCATCTCCGTAAACCCTTACTCAGCATTGTCCTACAGGTGCCATGGGGTAGCATATCGTGCCCTAAGAGGCTGGGAGGAGGCTGCTAAAGATCGGGCTTTGGACTGTGAATTAGATGATGATGAAAGTACCTATGCAATGGTGAAGGAGGTCCAGGCTGAGGCCCGCAAAAGGGGTCGGCTAAGAGTGCATAAAAATTACGTAGCATCTCAGGTACAGGAACCGAGAATTCAAGAAGGAGCTCTGCAAAAATGTGTCAATCAATCCGAGAGCGAGGAAAGTGATCTGGATATTGATGCTCCACAGGTGGTGGAGCCAGACGAAGATGCTTCTCAAGAGAAGGGCGATGAAAGGTTGAAGGTGACAGAAGAAATGCAGAAACAGGCCAGTGAAAGAAAGAGAGAGGCCTTTGATGCAGCCAATAAGGGTGAACTTTTAAGAGCAATAGAGCTTTTCACTGAGGCCATTAGGCTCAATCCACGCCGTACCACCTTATACGCAAACCGGGCCAGCATCTATCTGAAGCTTCAGAAGCCCAGTGCTGCCATCAGGGACTGTGATAAAGCCATACAGATGAACCCTGATTCTGCACAGCCCTACAAGTGGAGAGGAAAAGCTTTTTTGTCACTTGGTTACTGGCAGAAGGCTGCGAAGGACCTTGCCACGGCCTGTCAGTTGGATTACGACGAAGAATCCTCTGCCATGTTAAGGGAGGTACAACCAAAGGCTCTGAACACTGCCGGATACTGGAGGAAGCATGAGCAAGAACGGGAGGGGAAAAAGGATAACAAGCTACTAGACAAAATTCAGAAAGGTCCTGAAAAGCATGAAGGAATTCAAGCTACCCAAGCAGAGTTGGAAAAGGCTCACAACAGAACTGCAGGATATCAGAGGAGCACTTGGGGACCAAACATAAAAGAACATCAACACATCAGAGAGGCAGTACTAAAGAAGCAGGAGAGCATGCCCCAGAAGGAGCTAGAAGGAGGTCTGCAGGAAGGGATGAGGCAAGGATGGAGATCTTATGAAGAGACTGAAAAACAAGGAAGCTTTCAGCAAGAAATATTAGAAGAACAAGAGAGTCGTCTGTCCAAGGAACTGAAAAACCATGAACTGGTCCAGCAGAAAGAGTTGGAGGAACAGCTGAGAGCACTTCAGGAAGAGCTGGCGAAAAAGCTGAGAGCTCAAGAAGAAGACCTGGCTCTACAGGAGAAGATTTTGCAGACAATATTAGAAGAACAGGAAAGATCACAGCAGGAGATACTTAAAGATCAGAAAGAAGCCTACCAAAAGCTCCTAGAGGAACAAGAGAGAGCCTGCAAAATGGCTCTAGAGGAACTGGCAATACTTCAGCAACAGGCTCTGGAAGAGTTGGCAACAGCTCGGAAGAAAGCTTTGGAGGAACAGGAAATTGCTCAGCGGCAGGCACTGGAGGAACAGGAGGGAGCTCAGAAAGCATTGGGAAATCTGGAAAAAGTTCACGGGCAAGTACTGGAGGTACTCCAGCAAGCCCAGAAAGCATTAGAAAACCTGGAAAGAGCTCGTGAGTGGGCACCGGAGGAACAGAAACGAGCCCAGATGGCAGCCAGGGAAGAGCAGGAGCAAGCACAGAAAACATCTCTAGAAGAAAAGAAGAGGATTGAGGCAGCCCTGGAAGAACTTTCAAAGACTGAAAGAAAGCTCCTTGATGAACAAGAAAAGGCTGAACGGAAAGCACTTAAAGAAATCGAGTTTGTTCAGAAGGCTCAGGAAGAGCTTTCAGAAATTCAGAGAAAGATCCTAGAAGACCTGGAAAGGGCTGAGAAAGCCATGCGAGAACGAGAGGTAGCCGAGGCAGCCCTGGAAAAACTTTCAAGGACACATAGGAAGGCCTTAGAAGAACAGGAAAGGGCTGAGAGGAAAGCAAAGAAGGAAAGAAAGATGGCTGAAGCAGCCCCGGAAGAACCTGCAAAGATTCAGAGAAAGATCCTAGATGAACAAGAAGAAGCCGAAAAGAAAGCAATGTGTGAAATCCAGAGAGCTCAAAAAGCCAAGGAAGACCTTTCAGAAATTCAGACAAAGGTCCTCGAAGAACAGGGAAAGGCTAAGGAAGTTATGCAAGAACAAGAAATGGCTGCGTTGGCCCTGGAAGAACTTTCAAAGATTCATAGGGGGGTCCTAGAAGAACAGCAAAGGGCTGAGGAGAAAGCAGTGCAAGAAAGGATGATGGCTGAGGCTGGCCTGGAAGAGCTTTCAAAAACCCAAAGGAAGGTCTTAGAAGAACAAGAAAAGCTTGAGCAGAAAGCGGTGAAAGAAAGAG